GGCCAGCATGACAAGATCAGAGGTCAGATGAGGCCCAGCTGCAGTGCTCCCAGGCCACCCAACCTCAGGAGGCTCCTCTCCAGACTCCCATAGATGTGAAGGCKCCATGATGAAGAGGATTAGGTGAACAGTCCAGAGCCTCGGTTTTAGCTCAGCTGTCACAGGCACACTGATCCCACGTAGCCTCCACACACCCGAGCTCCTGCTCCTCCCAGAGCAGGAGACCGCCATTCAGTGTCTGAGGACCACTCTGAGGATCAAAGAGAATGAAAAGATTCTAAAAAATATCACGTAGGAAGACTCTTTAGAATCTTATTAACTCAAACTCTATCTTGGAAATTGTAATGTTTTAAAGAGTTTTTTTGTTTTTTTTTTTGAGATGGTTTTTATTATGTTGCCCAGACTGGCCTCAAAATCTCAATCCTCCTGCCTCAGCCTCCTGAGTAGCTGGGATAAGGGTGCATGCTGCTGCTCCTGGCTTAAACACATTTTGTTTCTGATAGCAAAGAATAAAAAATGTGTACCTCCCTCATCTGTTGCTTCATGAACTTACGGAGGTTGGGCCTCAGTCTTATCCTTCATCCCTATAGCCATTACAGTGCCTGGTAACCTTTCACAGAGAACTTGTGTCTCTCCTTGTATGTGTATCCTCACCTATTAAAAAGCACTCACATCTTCCTATATATAGCTTTTTTAAAAAGTCCATTAGGGAAGTCAACAGAACAGGGGCTACAGAGGGGTTTAGTGTTGGGTCATCCAAAACCTAATGTAAATGGAAGTTGAAGAAATGGGGGCACACACCAAGGAGATTTTAATTCTGCAAAAATTTTCTGCCTCTGCCTCTGGGCTCTTCTAATCATTAGTAAAGCAAGCCCAATTTCAGGAGATCTCATGGAGCTCACAGATGAAAAGGGCGGATTTCCTCTTATGGCAAATGTGGGAGAATGCTGGGGCTGAGATCTGTGTCTCTGATTGAGCCTCCTGTGCATGATACCAAAAGGGCGTCAGGAGATGGATCATGGTTATTGCCTGGGAATGATGGTTCAGAATGTGGAAAGTGAATTAGACATATCTGGGCTCAAGACCTTCTTTGCTTGCCAAAAAACTGATGATCTCTGGCAAATCAACTTCTTTAAGCTTGTTTTTTTTTTTTTTTCTCATCTGTAAAGTGCACACAATATTTCCTCTCATAAAAATCAGAAAGAATATATGTAAAGTATTTTTTGCAAGAGCCCAATCCATGGTGGACATTCAAACCCTTCAGCTGCTAGTGTTACCATTGCTTTGTGTTTGATTTTGGAAAGCCAAGGATACTCAAAGCTGCCAGAGAAAAGGACACTCTAGGCCAACCGTCGTGGAGTCACTTACTGATACTGACTATTGATTTGGGCAGGGAGGATCTTCTCATCTTTGCTCTTGGTAGGAAAGCATGAATAATGAGTTACCATGGGTGAAAAAAAAAAAAAAAGGCAAAACCAACAAAAATCCAGAACCATAATTTGTTGATTGCAGACACAAAGAACTCTGAATATTTATTCAAGCTCACAAGAAGTTATCCAGGCAATACCTTCTGGTGGCTGTCCCCTGATGGACATAATGCCTGTTGCCTGCAGAGTGAAGATAAGACACTTTCCTCCAGATTACTCTGCCATGTGATTGATGGGATTTGGGAATTTGTTTGAGGTCTCTCACTGTATTCAATTGAATTCCAGAGATTTAATTTTACCAGATGTTAAAAAGGAAATAACAGAATACCAGGCACTAAATGAAAATCCTGCATTCCTGCCAGGTGTCTGCTTATAAACAAGACCTCACCTTCATTCCACTCCCCGGATTGACTTCCTTTTCTAGTCCCCAAAGAGGTGAATACTTGGTTTTCTGAACTGAAACGGAGCAGCCATTCTTATCTCAGTGATTTCACAAGGTGTTAAGAATAAAGCAAAGTCGTAGGCAGGCCCGGCTCCTCCTGACAAGAAGCTGAGGTGCAGGGTGCCTCCGGTCGCCCCCGTGTCCTATCTGAATTGTGTGCAGAACATTGTGTTCTGTTTCTCATTCTTCACAGGACTTTTTTCTCCCTCTTTGGTTGTTCCCTCTGCTTCTGTTTCTCAGTGGCTTGTTTTGCAGTTCTGTCATTTTGCAGAATCTTTCTACTCCTGGAAAAGGATTAGGGAAATTACACTGCTACTTAACATTCAGGAAAGGCAGGATACACATGCAAGTTATCAATCATTTTTACCAGATGGTAAATGGATCTCTTTTTACCAGAAATTGAGCAGCAAACAAATTCATCACCAATACAAAATTTAAATTCACATTCATTTTCAATGTGACATCCTTAATGAGCTGATATGATGAAAATCAATATTTTATCCCTATATTGTTGACTATTTTAACAGTTATAATAATACAGGCTTAGGACTAAAAAAATTGTCATTAAACAAAATATCACAACTTGCAGTTTTCATACTCCATCTCTACTTTTTTCTCCCCCAACACCCGAGATTTCTATATTCATAACAGGCTAATGAAAATGGCATGAAGGGAAGAAAAATAAAAATCTAGCAGCTTATACTGGTGTACTWTTTAACATCACTATTTACATTTAGTGGTTGCCTTTTGTAGTTGAGGGCAAAAAAATCAAGATTGATGAGTTCTCTATTTATTAGACTGCACTATGAAGCCTATGGGGTAAAGATGTGTTGATTTTCCAGTGGCAGAGCCAGGGCGCCCAGTCTCCTGTGCTCCAAATGTAGATTTTTTACTCAATTAATGTTCTGAATAGCTCTGCATTTTGGTTTTTGTTAGTTATCATCAAATTTAACAGCAGTCCTGGCTAGTCCAGTGTCTGTGTATTTAGGGTGAAGAGAGATTGTTATGGGCTGAACTGTCCGCCCCCCCAGCTCCCAGCAAATTCAGAGTTTGGAGTCCTAGCTACCCAGAGTGTGACTGTCGGTGAACACAGGGCCTTGAAAGAGGCAATTGAAGCAAAATGAGGTCATATGAATAGTCTCTAATCCAATATGACTAGAGTCATAAGAAGAGACTAGGGACAACGTGAAGACAGGGAAAAGTGGCCTAAGAGGAAACCAACCCTGCCAACATCCTGATGTTAGACTTCCAGTCTCCAAAATTTTGAGAAAGTAAATTTCTGTTGCTTAAGCTACCCTCGTCTGTGGGTATTTTATTACAGCAGACCTGGTGAATGAACACAGTAGACCAGACTGGAGGAAAATGCAGAATTTACACCATATTGTCATCAATAACACACTATTATTATTTTTTAATTACTTGCTCAATTGTTGCAAGTAACAGACACCTAATTCAGTGGACTTAAGCACACACAGGGAATTCATCCTAAGGATACAGTGGTACCTCATGGCACCTGAGTGGCATTCAATAGGCCTCAGAAATGCACTGGAACCAGGATCTGAAGCATTGTTGGGATCCTGGTTTTCATTGTTCCTTTTCACTATCTGCTTCAGTTCTTGTTCTTGTTTTTTTTTTTTTTTTTTAATCCATCCCAATTTTGGATTCATGGGGAAGAGACTGGCACAGCAGTTGTCAGAGTCCTGTGGATTAGGAAGCAAGAAAAGAGCGCTTGTCAGTCTACAGACTCAGTCTCCTGCAGTCTGGAGGGTTTGGCCYCCTGCCCCGGGCAATGGGGAAACATACAGGTTCCGTGTACTACAGCAGTATGACCAATGTAGTAACACTTTGCTACAAACTGCAAAATCAAAGCAAGAGTAGCCATGACCCACCCAGTCCAAGATTGTTTGCCACCTATGACTATTTCCCAACTAAGGATAGTAGAGAAGAAACAGCAGGAAAGAATGCTGAGGAGCAGCCTGTCAAAATCTGTACTCCATCAGCTGAAAAAAGCTGATGGGTGATTGATGGGAATTCATGACAAAAATGGTACAGATGTTWAAAAAAAATAAAAAAGGTACAATGAAACATAACATGAAGTCATAGACTGGTGTCATATGTATTTGAGAACCTAAATCACTATTCTCTGAGAGAAAACATTAAATACTGCTCATCATTCTGAAGAAGAGGAAAGTATAGAAAATACGGGAAGTACAAAACTCTCAAGAATCTACATCTGTTACCAGTCTGAATGAGCAACTGACTGCACAGCCTAGCATTCTATTTTTCTGAGTCTTATGTGCTTTGGTACCCCCCGGTCCCCCAACTAGCACTCCTTAATGCCCAGGTGCTACACTTTTTGTTCTTCCCCACTTTGTCAGACTTAGTAGTCCTTACATGAACCATACTTGTTGCCTTGTCATCAGGATGGGGGGTCCTGAGGAGGTCCCCCAAAGGGAGGTGGACTTCAACTCAGGCCTTAAGGGTACTCCATGTCGTTGCAGAAAGGAATTTGAGGATGGGTCAAACTGAGGCACAGGTTGATTTTACTCAGAGAAAGGAAGTAGCACATACTCCGAGGGACAGGGCAGCGTGCAGGGGTTGGAGAGGAGCACGCTAGCTCCATCTTAGCTAGCCATGTTTATACATGGAAGACCAGTGGTACAGGGGCATGCTCTAAGAGGGTGTTTTTAGTTCTCCGTTGTGTTGGTAAGAGGACATGTTGACCATTACTGGGATGGAGGAGTTATCTTCTTTTTTCTGTCTTTGACATGTTCTGCTTTCTGAACACAATATTTACATCAGCGTACCTGTAGATAAGTCTAATAATTCACCTAATAGTTCTGTTTGTGATCAAGGTTAAGTGAAAATGACTTTTAAACCTGAATTTTTAATCCACTGAAGTGGACTTTAAATTATGGTCCCCCTTGTATTCCTGCATGTCTCCTTTCTACCTATCCTTATCTTCTACCCTATCTCAGCCTGACTAGACACCATGGGTTGAAAAGGAATACTCAGAAATGAGCTTGCTGGCTCAAAGAGTTTTAGGATAATCCAAGAAGAAAGAGACATGTCCAGGTATATTCCTTTTAAGATACAAACTTTATTTTACAATTTTATAAAGCAGCTTTACATTAAGCACAAACAATCCATTTACTTTGTAGAGAAACAAAATACCTTTCCATCTGCAAAAAAATCAAGTTTTGCTGTATATAAAACTAACATGTGCACATTGTGCTTAAACTGCAAAGTCTGTACAGCTTTACAAAGGACTACCCTTCAGAAGGGCATCCAGTAAACACTTTATTGCATATTTAACACATGGTATATAACCCACATGTACAATGGAGAATAAACAAGAAAACAATTACAAGGAGGATGAAAATAGCAGCTTTCAGTGAAAGTTTGCATACCAACAAAGGAAAAGGACCGCCACATCTGGAGACTTGTGCTTGGGTGTCATTTTTGCATTTGCTCACGTTCACTGGATGGTTCTTGGGTGAAGTGTTTATATACAATAACTCCTAATGGGCCAAACTTGACCTCCATCCAGAAACTTTTGGCTTGTTTTACAACTGAAGTGGCACTAGGTTTCACATCAATGCTAACTTAAGGTAAGTGGAAAACAGAAAACAAAAGTAAACCTATAATCTTAAAGAGAAATGTAAAGAAACAAATTAAAACTTTAAAATACCCTCCCTATTCTCTCTAAACTAAGAAAACATTTTACATGATTGAAAATCCCCAAATGCCCTAGTTGTTTGTAGAGAAAATGCAGTGGAGGATCCCAGGCAGCATCCCTCCAGGTATGCCCCAGCTCCCCTGCATCACAATCGCCTGGATGCTTGTGAAACATGCAGATTATCATGCTACAGGCAGAGTTAGAGTATCTGGGATCTACATTTCAATAAGCTCCCAGGTGATCCTGAGGCATCCTGAAGTCTGATAAGCATTTATGGGTCTGTACAGACAATGCTGCTGCTATGGGTTCAACTCATCCTCTTAGATAATTCTGGGCTCACAGGACAAATCAAGTTGCTGTTATGATGTGGAAGGCAGGCAGTGTAAAACCAACAGCAGTGAAATAGCAATGCCATTTCTAGATCAAAAAATCTTTCCTTCTTCAGTGGAAAAGAACGGCCATATTGTTAAGGCACTGATATTTGTCACAGAAGCAGTACCATACTGTTTTTACTGATTCCCCTAATCTGAAGACCAATGTGCAAACACAAAGCAGAAGTCTGGACCATTCTAAATAATAACAAATATGATGAAGTATAAGGTTCTCAGATGGAATAAAGTTTGTTTTGAGTATTGGCATTGAAAACAACAACAACAAAAAAAAGAGGGGAGTCTTCATTTTTACTGCCAAGACAATACAACATATTTTATGTTTAAACATTGCTGAGCCATCTAATRCATAAGAACTACAAAGGGGAAAAGCCTAATAACCCACATCAGTTGCTATGGGCAAAATTAAAAGTTGTGGTCATAAAAATTGGGAGTTTAAGCTTATTTTTCTATGGCCAGTTTGATATTGTCTTCAGCGTAGAGCTCAACCTTCTTGACTCTTGCTCCCTTAGGTGATGTTATGATATATATATATATCTCACATATGCTTCTAAACAGTGGTTGGTAGGGTGAATTAATTAAGATATAGTGTGTAGGCAGGTAATCCATCTGGCTCTTAAATGTGTACCTGGTAGAGGTCACAGATAAACTGCGTTGTGTTTGTCAGTCCCTTGAAAGTGTCGGGTCTCATATTTCCAAACTGTAGATTATAGTATTGATTTTGTGTATTATCATACCCTAAAACAAAAACCAGAGCAAAATCAACCCCTTTGTTTTAACCTAATATTTGAAGCCCTATAGCAGACATTGCCCATGGTCCAAGGACTATGGAACCTATTTATGAGGTTTGGTATGATACATAACCTAAATAAAGCTCTGATTATGGGCAGCAAACACAGTAGCATTTCTTTTAACAGCTGGAAAAATTTAAAATTAAATTTTAAAGGAAAAAACAATGACAGAATCAATGATTTGGAAAATGATAATAAAAARTGATCTAGGCAGGAGAAAACTTTATTATGATTCATGTATATTTAACCTAGTACTTTCCTTAAAGGGGATGGGAAATCCTAACAGGAAGTAATGGTAGACTTAAATTTACTAGTCCCGTTCTAAATTTAGATTTGTAATAAATATTCCACATAATGTCTCCCCAAATATCCCCCACCCCATGAACAAAACTCCCAAAGTGCAGGCTGAAATGAAATGCATGATTCCAGACAGTGACAAAAAAGAAACCATTAAGTTGGGGGCTGAGGGAGGGATAGACTGATTATCAAACTTTTACTGATTGTAGATCAAGTTTCACAAAACAGATAACATTTTTGTAATTTCTTGTGCAGTCAACAAGTTTCATTTTAGTTGTGCTTACATTATATAACTGTGAAGCCTGAACACTGGTTGTGTATTTAATTTACATATTTCAAGAAAACCATAATTCAAAATATTCTCCATATATAACAAATTGAACAAATGTGACATTTACCCCCAAGAAATGAATCTGTAGAAAAAAAACCAGCTTTTTAAAAAGTTGAACACAGTCCACTATCCAGGCTACAAGTACATTTTTTACTGTATTATAGCACATAATTTTTTGAAAAGTCTGCTTTCAATATAAATATAAATAATCACGTTTTAAAAGAGCTCCATACCAGTCTCTAGGTAAGTGCTAGACAGCTGGCCGGTAATAGCWACTTACCATGATTTTTCCCATGCTGAGCAGGACTGGACTATCTRTGTGGCTCCATGAGGTGTTGAGCAAGGCTAAGACAAACATCTTTGTTTGGCTGACTAAACTCTGCTCTAAATGCCTCCTACATTTCTAAACACTCAACCCATGGAATGCAATTATTTCAGAAGACGGATTTTAAGGATCACTTATCACTTTGCTTTAATCCACAAAAACCTAGTATACACAACCTTTAAAAGTGTGCCTGTGCTCTGCTGAGACAGAGCTGTAGTTTCTGGGTTCAGAAGAGGCTGAAATGTGATTTTGGTTGAGCTCTAGTTGTGCTTTGCCCTGCTGCCTTTAAGGTAGCTTTTCCACCTCTTCACAAATTCTTTGAAGATCGGGGACTCATCAATGGTACTGAGTAACTGCAGCTGATTGATGTGGGTGGTATGATAGTCCCAGCGGGCAAGGTTGGGAGCRATGCCGAGCATGAAGTGACGGAGGTCATAGATGGTTCCTGAGCCAGTATCATACAAGGGCAGCATGGCTTTAAGGGATTCCATGCCACGGTCATACAAGGACCTTGCTTCTTTCCCAAGTTTTTCCCCTGCAGTTTCTTTTAAGTCATACARCCCAATTAAAGAATACATAAAGCCATTTAAAACAAAAGAGCTAGGTGTGGTTGGATATTCTTCATACCAGTCATGTTTATTCATGAACACAGCTTTAACTCCATGCTGCTCTGACAGAAACTTGTAAGGGGCTGTTGCCCTTAAAGCTGAATTGAGGAATATGTGGTCTTTTGTTAACAGATAGGCCCTGACTAATGTAGAAATGGCTTGCCCTTGGGCCATGGCAGAGTACCACCCTGGTTCTAAAGACTTAAACCCTTCCCCTAGCTTACGGGTTACCATAATTGGCCAGCCACCTTTCTCATCCTGATTCCTGACCAGCCAATCGCTAGCAGCAAAGAATGCAGCCATGTGGGCTGTGGTAGAGATGGTAATGTTGTCAAGGAATCCCTTCCCTTTTGCAATCAACCTAACTACCTTTTTGGGCATAATTTTGGTTGGTTTGACAGCTTTTGTGTTGGAAAGACCCACTCCTTTCCTGAGGTCAGTGACCAGGTCTCTGGTAACTGTGCTCCATGAAGTTCTGGGCCCAATGCCATAGTATATGTCTCTTTCTTTAAAAGCAATCAGTTGGGTATTTGAGACATAATGTACAGTGAAGAGCTGATTCTTTTCTGTAGTCTCTAGAACCACGGATATACTCCCATTTGTCAAGAACTTGAGGTCAAATGAAATAATAAAATCTTTTGTGTTTCCCAGTTGCAAGGACACACCTTCACTGGTCTCTGTAGAGGGAAAAATATCAACAAAGACTGTTAGTATAAAAGCGCTTTTGTATTTGAAATGTAATTGCAATTTATCTTTTATAACCACTGACCATACAAAATTAAGACCTGGGCATTTTGGGTATCATATCATTATTTATGTACTTTTTTTTATTAAATCAACCATAAACAAATGACAGAATGGRCGAGTTCCTGGTAGCTTCTGAGAACTGGACCAAAGCTCAGAACTTTGGCCATGTCTGGTTTAAAGGATTCAGAGCAAGTGACAAGGGTATTTTCAAATTGTCTTTTCCAGATCCAATGCCAGGTATCAGTAATCAATGACTATTCTAGTATACCCATTCTGCAAAGAAGAAAAAATAGCCAAAAGCTAGCTCAGCACACATTTTAAAAGAGAGGTTAGAAGTTCTAGAAAGAATAGCATATACAAGTTTTCAATTTCTAATCTATTTAATATTTAATATGTGCTTACTATGTTCTAAGCATTTTATATATATTAAGTCATTTATTTCTCTTAATTACAAGAGGTGCTAGAGTACCGCTCCAACTTTATGGTTGAAGAACTCAGACACACAAGAGTTACGTAATGTACCCAAGGTACAAAATGTCGTTATATAATCTGGCTTCATAATATATGTCCTTAATGATGAAAAGGGTAAGTTTGTTTTTGATGTTCTCTAGAGTTAAGAATAGAAAGTTGAGCAATGGGCTCATGTATTAGAGAAAAAGTCATGTGTGTGTGTGAGGGCAGCATGAATTTCTCCTCTAGCTTTGAGAAAGCAAAAATATACCTCTTTCAGCCTTGATTTCTCCATTGTTCAAAAGTTATTACTTTACTTTGCAGAGTAACTGAGAGAATTTAAAAAGAGACAATGGCTTATAATAAAGTAAGAGTAATAGTGATTACTATCACTAATTATCACGATAATAAAATAGTAAAAGTTGTTTTATCTGATAAATTATTAAACAAAAATTTCTCTTATAAAGTTATAGTAAAATGATGGTGAGTTCTCAGAAAAATGACTTTCTGAATACTGCTCTATTCATATATATTCTGTAGCTGTATCTCCCAAGAAAAGAAACTGAGCATATTAAAACAAACAAACAAACAAACAAAAATACCCAGTAGGGCTGGGGTTGTAGCTCAGTGGTAGAGCGCTTGCCTAGCATGTGTGAGGCAATGGGTTCAATCCTCGGCACCACATAAAAATAAATAAATAAAATAAAGGTATTGTGTCCAACTGCAACTAAAAAATATTTTTAAAAAACCCAGCAGCAATAAAAACAATGAAAAATACAGGTAGTACAAATTTTAAAACATTAAGGAAAAAATGATCTTTATACAGCTAWATTTCCACATGTATTACCTCATTTGATCCTTAAAATTATCTTCTGAGGCTGTTAAAGCTGGAATTATTTCCATTTTAGAGATAAAGATATGCAGGTTTTGTAAGGTTAAATAAGGGTTCGCTCAAGGCCAAAAGCTAATTAGCGGTTAGAGCAGGGACTAGAATCCAGGTTTCTTGGACCAAAGTTCAAAAACTATAAGACAAATGCTGTTGGAAATGGCATCCTCAGGAGAATATCAATGGAAGGGTTATTTCTCTTAGACACAATCATAAAATCACATCTCTGCTTTGGAAAGTCTTTGAGGAAATCATTAGCATGTCACTGGAAGTAAAGATTAGAAATATGAACTTATGACAGCGTATATGGTGTGGACAGCTTGGAGAGCGCCAGCATGTTGAGTTTATCATTTAATTTGCAACACTGGATTCTATCAGTATGGACACAGGTGGCCAAGATTCTTAATCATTTCATTTTAATGGAACAATTATGGAAGCTGTATCAAGAATGAGGACATTGTCCAAGGGGAGGAAGGAGGGGAGGGAGGGAATGGGTAGGTGCTAGGGAGTGATACTGGCCAAATTATATTATTGAATTGTGTGCACATAAAAATAGGTAACAACAAATCCCACCATTATGCACGAGTACAATGCACCAATTAAAAATATGGAAAAAAGGCATACAAAATAAAAYATCATGATAGATTTATGTATCAAATAAGGCTTTGAATGGCATTTTAGAAATTGATTTTACAAGTAACCTTTAATGAAGTAAAAATCTATTTTATCTGGCAAGATATCAATGTATACTTTCTTCCCTAACTAGTATTTTCCTGCTTCCAGAGTGAAACAGAATCTGAAGCTCAGCACAATATCCCTGAAACACTGCTGGGTTCTGAACTGACTTATGAATCACTCAGGATTAAATTATATTCTGCAGAGCAGACTATCCTGAGTGCTCCTTATTTTTTCATTCTTAGGGTAATGTCTCATTCATCAGACAATATTTTTAAGTCTGACATCTATTCTAGCCAAACTGGATAACAAACTGAATGACCCATCTTTGGAAGTATAAATGAGAGGAAACTGAAGAATCCATTTCCTCCCAGAATTCTGTTCTAACTCTCAATTTATATATAAAAATGTAATGAAATGACATGGTTAAATAAATCACCTTATTATGTCTTCATATACCAGATCAGTCCAAAGAATTCAGGAATGAATGATGTCATGGTATGACCTTTGAAAAAAATCATTATTAATTTTCCTAAAATATTACCACCAGCAGAGGGAGTTACTTAGTCATACATAGGAGAAGTGATGGAGAAAATCCACAAATTAAAGCAACCAACAACTCTGCATTCTTCACAGTAATTCTATTAAACAGGTCTTTTAATTTTTATTTTATAGCGCTACCTAGGAGGTTAAATAACCTGCTAACATCATCAGGAGGATTTGAATGGTAGCAAATGGGATGGTAAGGTTCAGAAAGCTCCTGGAAATATACTATCTGAAGACTCCTGCTTCAAATCTACTAAAAGAAAGTTCTGATTTTTCTATTGTTTGAAACCTATGACCCTAGTTTTTCTGAGCAGTCATTCCTATGAGTTACTGTAGCTTTATCTGGTAYATGGGGTACATGTACATACTTAAGAAAACAAAGGAAGGAGGGGAGGGAGGGAGTGGGTAGGTGCTAGGGAGATGGGTGCTAATCTTGTCAATGATTTTTTTTTTGGGGGGGGGTTGACACTAAAAGCACAAACAGCAGCAAAAATAAACATGTGGGACTGTGTCAAACTACATTTTCCCACAGAATAGGGATCAATCAACAAACTGAAAAGGTGGCCTACAGAATAGGAAAAAATATTTGTAAAACATATATCTGATAAGGGGTTAATATGCTAAAGTATATAAGAAACTTTTGTAACTCAATAGAAAAAATTAAATAATTAAAAAACAGGCAAGGGATCTGAATAAATATCTTTCTAAAGAAGATATACTGATGGCCAAAAGATACACAAAAAGTTGATCAACATCCCTAATCATCAGGAAAATGTAAATCAAAACCACAATGAAATATCATTTCATACTTGTTGGAAAGGCTATCATCAAAAAGACAAAATTAACAAAGTATTGGTGAAGATATGGAGAAAAGGGAACTCTTGCACGCTCTGAATGGGAATATAAATTGGCAGTCATCGAGGTTCCTCAAAAAATTAAAAATAGAACTACTATGCGAGACAGCAATTCCACTTCTGGGTACATACCCAAAGGAAATTAAATTCGTATCTCAGAGATATCTGAATTCCTATGTTCACTTCAGGATTATTCATAACAGCCAAGAAATGGAAAAAACCTAAGTGTGCAGTGATGGATGAGTGGATAATGTGTATRTCTGGTGGAATATCATTCAATCATAAAAAGAAAGAAATTCTGCCATTTGCAATAACATAGATGAACTTTGAGGGAATAATGCTAGTGAAGTAAGTCAGAGAAAGACATATACTATATCTGGATCTAAGAAAGTTGAACTCAGATGGTACAATGGTGGTTATTGTGGGCTGGGAGGTGGAGGAAATGGAGATATACTGGTCAAAGGATATCAGCTTTCAGTTATAAAATGGATAAGTTCTTGGCATCTAATGTACAGTATGATGACTATAGATWATGATACCATATCAAATACTTAAAATGTGCTGGGAGAGATCTTTGATGTTCTCATTACCACATGTGCACAAAAAAGGTAACTATGTGAGGTGATGGGTGTGTTAACTCACTTGACTGTGGCAATAAATTCACAAGATAATTTATAAATGTATTATAAATTTATAAAGATATTTATAAATGTATATCAAAGCATCACACTGTATGCCTTAATTATAATCAATTTTATTTTTCAATTATGCCTCATAAAGCTGAAAAAAATCAATGTTTTCATACAGAATGCAAACTTAATATTCATTCATTTAATCAATAGGCTTACTATGTGGATTGAGAATCAGGCCTTACTTAGAACCTTGAAGAACACGGAGATGAGGATCAAGGCAGAAGAGAAGCTCACAAGTAGCCTAAAAAAGAATGACTATAGAGATAGGAGGGGAAAGTGGGTTCCTAGAAATGAAACATAGAGTGTTTTGGGTAAGGAAAAACTAATTTAATAGAATAGAACAGGCACAAAGCTTAAATTTGTTCAATTTTAAAGTTAGGAAGAAAAAACATTATTCATCAAATAAAACGATAAAAAATACGTTGCAGACTCATATAATGGTTGTTTACTCTAGATGATTTTGTTCCATTTCAGGCAAAAAATTTCAAGGAAAAGAAAGTAAAAATAAAAGGCTGACACCATTCAGCTCCTGGTCTTCCAAACTCTTACTTCACTTAGGCATATGCTTTAAGATACCAGTCCAAAGTTCTTCTCAACAGTGACTCTCTGAATTCATCTCCCATGAACTCTCTGTCTTCTAAAAAGCCTCATCTCTCACACCTCTTTGATTCTCTTATCCCGCTCTGCTGAGTAGTAACTCAACTTCATTCCCTCTCACACCTGTAGTATGTAACTATAGTACACCCAGGATATCAAAACCTGCATGCCACTCCCAACTAGCACTCTTAATCACCAGGAAGTGCTAACTCTGAGTAGGTGTGTTCCACTGGCAGAGTAGCTGTCACGGAGATCCTTCCTCTCTATGCTTATCGCTATGTTAGGAAGTGGTTTATCTTAAGCTACTGGCCATAGAATAAAGAGCTAAAATGAAGATTCCCCCAAGTAGGATGTGAGAACCTATCTTCTGTATTTCCCAGAGCACCTAAAAGTGTACAATGAAATCTGCTGCTCTAAATAGAATGAGTTCAGAAGATTGTTTTAAGAAAAACTCCCAGACATTTGAGGAGATCAAGACAAGGGTTGTGATTTTCTACCCTAATCTAAACCACATTATTAAGGAACATAAAACTAAGCTCCTTGGGTGCGCCTGAAGCTCAATGTTCTTTTGCTTAGTGTAACACTTCCCCACTGCAATACCCCAAGCTAAACATTGTTAAAACATTTTCTTGCAACTTCTCATCCAGCCAAGCCTGTTGTGTAATAATAAGCAAAGATGCTCCATGTACTGGAATATCACAGAGTACCCTGGGAGAAAAGAAGTTCTAGTCACAGAATAAAAACTAAAGGTCATCCATTATTTGCACTGCATTAAGCACTCATAAATCCATTACTTAAGGCCATCTAGAATGAGTAGATTTATATTGTGGCTTTCAAGGTCTATGAATTACACAGTCATCAATAAAAGACAAGGAGAGAATATAGAAGAGGTCTTAAAACTTTTCATTTCTTTTTATTTACTGACTGCAAGGTTAGTGGGAGGGGGGAMGTTCTGATCTTGACAACATTTCCCCATAGAGAATTAAGCCAGAGGTGCTGAGATTATTTCATTGTCTTTTTAAGTAATGGAGTCATTAATTCTCATGGATATTGATTAGTGCAGAAAAATACATTACATCCTAATTAATGAGACTGTCTTAGTAAAAGGGGAAATGTTGCATAAAGTTAATTTGATTTTATAAGTGATTTTATTAATGAAAATGGTTTTATATGAAGTTTGAGATAATTTAGTACATTAACAGAATTCAATCAGGGAGCATGTCTATTTGGTAATGCTACATTTTCTTGAAAAAATGAAATGCTAATGGTAAAAAATATACAAAGGAAAGGATGGGTCTTTCCATAAAACAGTTTCTGCCTTGGTGCATAATAAACTGCAAACTAATATAAACTACAAATAAACTATACAAACTATACTGAAATATTAAAATAAACCAAGGGATCCTGGGGGTGAAGCTCAGTGTACAGTGCTTACCTATCATGTGCAAAGCCCTGGTTCAATCCCCAGCAATGCAAAAACCAAACCAAACCAAACCAAACCAAAACCATGGAGCTTCAATCCTACAGGCTATAGACCCTGGAGGTACACACTGTAGTGATCTCGTTTGTGTGTGTGTATGATGGTGGGGACTGAACCCATGACTTGGGACATGCTAAGCAAGAGCTCTACCACTGAACTATATCCCCAGTCCCATAATCTGGATGTTTTCAGTCTATGGCTTAGCTTTTCACATAGTAAATATTCCTTTTTATAACTCCTTTTTTTTCCCCTCCTAGTACTGGGGATTGAACCTAGTAGTGCTCTACCACTGAGTTACATCCATTACCCTTTTTAGTTTTACTTTGAGACAAGGTCTTGCTAAATTGTGATCCTCCTGCCTCAGCCATACAAGTTTCTGGAATTACAGGTGTGTACTTCTGCATCCAGCAATAACTTTTTTTTTTCCCTAGCTGTTCATTCTTTAGAGATTTCACTTAGGTGACAGCATTTGTTTATTTACTTATGTAATATTAAAGGTCTAATATGTTTTTAAAACCCATATTAAAATTTTAAAGGAATACCAGGTGCTATGGATTAACATAAAATTAACCGACATACACAGTACATAACTTACCTGGAGCAATAAACTGTTTAACATTGGTGAATCTAGATTTATCAGTCACACTGGCCATAAAGCAGCCCTTTGGCACAGTCCAGTCATTAGGTTTGATGTTTCTGTCCCTGTCTTCTGCTGTTTCATACACCTCTATGTGAGGGGGTTTCTCAGTTAGATTCTTGCTGTAATGACTTAACCCATACTGTGCAATCTGGATTGGGTAGAAATAGCCTTGAGGTCCCCATTGTGTCGATAATGGCACCCCTATAAAAAGAGAAACAAAATGAATAGGATTTTACTTCTGGAGAATGTTTTAGGGTTATGAGCAACTTTTGAGCTTTTTATACTGCTTTCATAATTACTAGAAAATTAGTTAATTAATCAGATAAAAGTATTCATTCACTCATTATTTGTTGAGAGAGCAATTTAACATTATCAATTACCTTTTAAGGACTCTTTCAAGTGTCTTACTTTTGCCACAGATACCATGTTTCATAATTGTCTTTCGTACATTCAAATTTTGTATAATTTAGAAGTATGAAGATGTCACCAAGATTTTATTCTAAATACTAAGCCTGAAATTTTAACGTTTGCTTTCTATTTCCTCATCTCTCTCTCCAATGTCAAAGTGTGGTCTGAGAACTAAGTATGTCATCTGATGGTTACAGTATTTGCTTAAAAAGAAAGTTATGACTAGGCAACATAAGATACAAAACAAGTGCTTCAATATTTTTATATCCTTCTTGCTAAAAATTAATTTCTAAGGAGTGTTTTCAAAAATTGAATTGAAGTTCTATATTTGACCATTGATTYTTGAGATAATTAATAAATTTCTTACAAAATTTTTTAGATGTTTGGTATTAGTCTTTATTTTAGTAATTTCCTACATGGGAACTACAAGAATAYACTGCACAGAATACTGTAGTTCTAAAATGAGTGAACAAACATCTGATGGGCACAGCAGAGACTGGGAATCTACATAATTGCATGTGTTTTAATGCAGTTTCAAAATAATGTTTAAGAAACTAATGATTGCTATGGTTTCAATATGGCATAAGTGTGTCCCCCAATGTTTCATGTGTTGGAAACTTGATCCCCAGTTTTATGAATGTGAGAGGTGACAGAATCTTTAAGAAGTAGGACCTAGTAGGAAATAATTAGGACACTGAAGGTGGTGCTCTCAGAAAGAATTAATGTACTGCTTTTGGGACTTTGGTTAGTTTTCATGAGAGGGTTCTCGTTAAAGAGTAAGCCTGGCTCCTCCTATGCTCTGGCTTCCAYTTGGTCCTCTTGCTGCAATAGCTCTCTGATGCCATTCATGATGTGACAGGGCGAAGGAGGCCCTGGCCAAAATCAACATAGGCTGTTTTGAGTTTTAGCCTCCAAAACTAATAGCTAAATAAATCTCTTTTCTTTAGAAAGTACCCAGCCTCAGGTATCTTGTCATAGCAACAAAAGACGGACTAATACAGGGACTATATAGGTTATAAATAAATTGTTTAACATCTATATACTCTTTTCAAGAGATAGAACCCCCAAATTAAAGCAGAATTATCACTTAATAAAAGGTAGGTTTTTATAAGCTCATATATATTAGTCTATACTAATGTATAACTGGCATAAAACTGAGACTTCCCAATGGAAGTAACATCCTCCAGAGTATTCATAAGAATATAGTATAATGATAAAGCCTGAATTCATAAATCAGGAGAAAAGATCATTTGAAACATGTTGGGGGRAAAATCTAAAATTAGTACCTGACTTATACCATTTTTCAAAATAAAAATCAATTTAGCTGGACTAAWAAAGTTAAATGAGAGGCTGAGGGTGGTACAGCTTAGTAGTATAGAGCACCTGCCCATCATGTTTGAGGCCTGGGTTTGGTCCCTAGAACTGCAAAACAAAAACAACAACAAACTAAAAAAGAAAAATAACGAAACTATAAAATTATTAAAGAAAATAAAAATAAAATCCTGGTATAGCAAATGCCTTTCTAAGCATAAAATGAATAAGTCACAAAGTTCAAATTTATATGTTTAATAAACAACTAAAATCTTCTAAAACTAATAAATCATAATTAAAAGATAAACGAATTGAAGAAAGTATCTATAACAAATGCAACAAAGTATTGCTACTCTTAGTATATTATAAATACAAAGTTCTTACAAATACCTGTTTTAAAAACCCTACTACTTGCATTAGAAAAAACAGGGGAAAGAACATGAAAACATGGTTATTAGCACAGGAATGATACTTGACCTCACAGTTGTTAAAGGAAGAAAACTATAAGGTCTTTTTGTAAATAACAGATTAAAAACAATGTTCCATGATGGAATTTGAGACAAAWGCACCCTCTTATTATGCTACTGGAAACATGAGGAGGGCTACTACCTTTTTGGAAAACTGTTTGACAAAACATATCAAAAGGTTAATCTGACATGTGGTTAATTATATTCTCTAGAAGGAATATACAACTCTGAGAATATAATTCAAATAGCAATAAAAATTAACAATAAGGTCTGTAACATTATTTACAATAGCAGAAAATTGGGGAATTACCTAAGTATCCAACAAAAGAGAAGGATCTCATATATTACATATATCATGAAATGACCTTACTRTGGAATGTTAGACATTGAAATGTCCAATAAATATTTAATTATAAGGAGAAATACTATAATTATAATAAATTGAAACAGCAATATAAAAAATTGACTATGCAGTATGATCCCAATTTGTTTAAAAATGTATATTCACAACAACAGATCAGAAAAAAACACATCAAAATATTAATAATGATTACATTGGCTCTGGGTGTTTTTTACTTTTTCTTTAGAATCTAAGCATCTACTGATTTGGCCATGGATATCTTTGAAATCTATAACAAATTATTACTTTCCTGAATTATTAGATAGTAAGTATCATTAAAACTATGTTAAAGTTTATGAGAAAATATAAAGATCTCCAGTAAATTGACAAAAATGATAATGATTATTTTGGGGTAGTAAGAACATAGTATAGGTAAATTTGTTGCCTTCTCTCTTCTAATCTTTGGTAAATATATTATCTAAAAAAATTAGATAGATGCAGTGGTACACATCTGTAATCTTAGAGACTCAAGAGRCTGAGGCAGGAGGATCTTAAGTTTAAAACCAGCCTCAGAACTTAGCAAGGCTCTAAGCAACTTAGTGAGACTAAGCAACCCTGTCTCAAAATAAAAAGGACTCAGTGGTTAGGCATCCCTGGGTTTAATACACAGTACAAAAAAAAGATATCATATAAATAGGAAAACACCTGCATCAGAATATGCAGAATATATAGACTCCAATTTCCAATTTGATGTACACCACTAACTTCAGAGACAATGGCTATATACACTTTTTACCTGAGGGAGTCTGAAGATATCTGCAGAGTTATCTTCTTTTTTTTTAATGTTGTAGATGGATACAATACCTTTATTTTATTGATTTATGTAGTGCCGAGGATCGAACCCAGTGCCCCAAGCACGCAAGGCAAGCACTCTACACTGATCCACAACCCCAGCCCCACAAACTTCTTTTCAAAGCAAAAATATAAAGTTAAAAGCTGTTTCAACATGATTTTAATAAATTCATATTAAAGTTTAATATTAAAATTGAAATTATATTAAAATCACTGTATAACAAAATGAGGAAAGTGAAATAAAACCTGAACCAATCTCAAAATACATTGTTTCCCCTGTTCAAATGATATACGTCAATGTCAAATTTAATTTCCTTCTCGTCAATTCCTAGATTTGAAAGCAAATTCCAAAATGTACTAATAACCCCTCAGGAACAACAACTGCTTCAGGTTTCTAAAGACAATGAAAGATAGCACACACAGACTACAGGAGTATGGTATAAGTTCAGTGTCAGTGTACTGTCTTATCCTGAGGACTTGAAACGTCCTTTCAGAGACCTGTCTAATAAGGTAATAGGACAACACTGGGAAATTGAGGGATCCAAGGGATGCTCTCTCCCTTTCKTATCTCCTCTCATAGTATTATAATAGTGTATTTTAAAGCAAAATTTCTGCTATGTTTTGACCTTACTTGTGAGAATCTTAGATTCTGAGGAAGGTTAATGGAATAGTCCTATATTCAGGTATGATGGTATCGCAACAAAATCAGTCTAGAAAATAAAAGTGGAGCAAATAGATACCAACCTTCAACCCCACTTATGCACTTGACTCTGTCTCGGACTTCCACATTGTAGCCTTCAAAGGACATGAATACACCGTCAGGGTGATAAGGGGCTCTCTGTGCATAGACTTTGGAATAGCTATGAGAGAATTCAAACCGATCATAGCCATCATACTGAACCACCTTTCCATAAACATCAAAGTATTTTTCTACCCAAGTGAATGGAAGAAAGACTTCATTCCCCTCTCGTCTCCCCTTAATTGTGTGTTCATCATTTATGAGACAGTCAATTTCTTCATATTTGAGTCCTAACACCTTGCTTCCCCCATTATTATTGAAGCCCCCAACGACAGGGGGTGCTTTCTGCTGCTCCTGGGGGAATGCCTCCTCAGATTGCTGTTTGGCCATGTGGTTCACATAGTGGTTACTCTCAGATGCTGCTGCTCTTTTCTCTAATCCATCCACTCTGAAGCCACTACTCAAGTGCCGTGGAAACTGGATTGCTTTGTCACTGGAACACTTATTCCACAAAAGTACTGTGACCAAAGTGAAGAGTGCACAGATGATAATCAAAGTCTTATAGCTGACCCGAGCTGCCAAGCAACGCATATTCAGACCATACCTATGGAGGCAAGAAGAAAAATGTATGCAAAGATGTTAATATTGATATTTCATAAGATAACATTGTCTTCATTTTTAAAATGTTCAACAACATTAGGATTATTAAATGCAAGCAATCTGATGAGATTTAAAATTACTAACTCAAACTTTCAGCAGGAACAAATAAGAGTTAAGAGGTACCTCTATGGTAAAATACTARGTTAACATAATCCTCTAAAGCAGAGATATCCAAATTTTTTTAGTTTGTGTTCCCTTGGTGTCTTGGTAATTTTTCAAAATGCCTCCTAAGCCAAAAGAAACATCTTATAGTTCCATTTTTTAAGTAGTCAAAATCAAACAATTTTAGTACTTATGCCCTAAATATCTTAGCTACCTGAAAAACAACAGACCTTTACAAGGAAAACAGTGACATCCGTGTTGCCAAACCTAACAGTGAATTTTTAGTGCCCATCCTACTTTGACCTCTCAGAAAAGTCAATAATTTTTCCTTCTTGAAACACTTTCTTCCCATGGTTTCTAAGGTACCATTCTTTCTTGGTTCTCCTTATATCCCACAGAGGTTTGCTTTTCCTTGGTCTTGCTGGAGGCTTCCTTCTTACCTCCCTGATGCTGTAAATGTTAGAAAGCCTTAGGGTCCCAGCCCTCAGACTTCTTTCTCTCTATTAGCCCCTAGGTGATCTTACCCAACCTCATGCTTTTGAATACAATTTCTATGCTGACTATCCCCAAGTTCTATATTTAGGTCAGACCTTTCATTGGAACTGCAGGTTCATATATTCAAGTAATTGGTATCTTTACTGAGGTCAAATAGAATTCTGAAATGTAGCTCACAAAACTTAACTCCTAATCTTTTCCCTCAATTTGCTCTTCTTTTTCTATAGCCTAAACTAAAAACGTTGACTCCTCTTTTGCTCACTCCATATGCAGTCATTAAGGAAATCCTGTTGACTCTACTTTCAAACTATATCCAAAATCTGACTTCATTTCACCAATTCCACTATTACCACTTTGTCAGAGCCACTGTCATTTTTCACCTAGAATAAATACTTCAGTGATATTCAAAACTGGTCTCTGCTTCTACCCCTGCCATACTACTCCACCTCGAGTCTATTCTCAACTTAGCAGTCAGAATGATGCTTTTAAATTTAAGCAAGATGATGTCATTGCCGTCCTGATGGGAGGAGAATTTGATGCTGTTGGCCTTGCTGGCCATATGCTGTACCAGCCAGTCAGGATCACAATGCAGATGTCACTGGGAAACATGAGAAATTGTGTTAGTTATGTGTGTAATGTAAGGAACACCTCAGCCTGCTGAGAGGGGAGCCAGGAGGTTGATTGATATTTGTCACAGTCACTCTGTAATTTATTGTGTAGTGTGAATCCGCAACTATTTATTTTATTCCATAACCTTCTTTGAATTTTTCCTACAATAAACCTTTTTAGCAGCAATGATTTTATATATATATATATATATATATATATATTTTTTTTTTTTTTAAATGCAAGTATTTAATGAAAAATCAAATGCTGACTTTTGGTTTCTTAAGAAAGCTGATAGTGAATATGTACCTCACTCATTTCTTTTAATTCCAAGAGAAGGTGAACCTTGAGCCACAACTGTCTAAAAACAACTTTACTTTCAATATTTTGGCAGGATACAAATTCCTTAGTTGCATACTATTTTCTTTCAAAATGCTGTAGGCAATACTTAACTGTTTTAAAACATTAACGCTTACTGAAGAGAGGTTTGATTTTAGTCTTTCAACTGTCACTTCATACATAACTTCCTTCTGAATCAGTTTATCCTAGGAATTCTGCAGCTTTAAGAGGCTGTGCCATGGTATAATGTTTGATTCTCTACTTCTGCACTTTCTGAGCCCTTTCAATTTGAAAACTTGTGCCCTTCTATTCTTGTTTATTGGATGTGGTATCTCCTTGCATCTCTGAGTATATTACAAGTTCTTTTTAAAAAATAAAGTTCTCTATGGTTACTTCTATTTTTCTCCACTGGTAATTTTTCAAAATGGCAATTTTTCTGGTTATTTCATCTTTTTCATGCCATTAGCTTTCCTCACTTGCCTGGTAATCTTTGGTTACTCAATCATATTTAAGACAAAATGACATTAGTCAACATAGGTTTCATTTCTTATTGTGAAGATGGTCTGTTTTTGTTGTTTTTTCCAGATTGTTCTCCTGAAGGGATAAAAGGAGAAAGAACTCTGTGTGGGCTGGGCACAAGCTGACAGGAGCAGTGTTCCTCTAGGAGGAGTGGGTGGGAGGACAGCAGACCTAAATGCCAGACCAAAGATGGCTTTTCTTCTTTTGTTCTGGGAACGTATATGCACTTTAGAAGCCCATAGTCTTTCCCAATTTCTCTAAAGAAAATCTCCCTGGTGTTTTACCTGGATTCATGCCAGCAATCTCTAGTCCAAATGCAGGGATGGAAGAAGTATGGGGAGGCAAAGAGAAGGTACAGTTGGCCCTTCTGGTGCCCAACAAAGGTCCAGAAATCTGCCCAACTATCATCCTTTGGTAGTCTTCCTATTTACTATTCTTGGTTTATTAATTATTTCCATAGATTTTATTTCAGTGTGAAATTAGGAGGGAAAGGAAGCAAGGATTTGGTTTGTATTGAAAATCATAAACAGATTTTAAAAGTTGAAAATTCAATCCAGGTTGAGTATCCAAAATGGTTGGGCCAAGAAGTGTTTAGGATTTCTACAGGTTTTGGGATACCTGCATAAACATAATGACATTATCTTGAGTGTGGGACCCAAATATAATCACAAAATTCATTTATGTTTAATATTAATCTTATACACAAAGCCTGAATATAATTTTATACAATATTTTAAATAATTTTGTGCACGAAGCAGTTTCATGGTATGGAATTTCCACTTGAGGCATCATATCAGTGTTCAACATTTTACATTTCGAAGCATTTAGGACTTCTGTTTTTTTCTTTTTAAAATTTTCTTCCCAGTGCTGGGGGTTGAATTCAAGGCCTCAWGCTTGCTAGGCCAGCACTCTACCACTGAGCTACATCCCTTGTCCCAGGATTTCAAATTTTTAGATTAAGGATATCCAATCTGTAATGTATTTTATTACTTGTATTATTAGATGAGAAAATGTGTTAAATGCTCAAAAACCATAATGCAGTACAAGCAAACCTTCAAAGGCCATGTATTTACAAACTGAGGATACTGTAGTAGAAGGCAAACTGACAATGCTAAATGGTATTTACTTTTTAAAAATCCCTTACCAAAACCACTAACGTCAATATTTGAATAATGTATCAACTATGCCTACTAACATTTTGACCAATTAAAATAGAAATATAGTTTTTTGTTCCATCTTTGAGAAGTATCTTTTTGCCACTACTCAAATGAGAGTAACTTTGATTATAGAGCAAGGTTATCTTTTTTTTTTTAAATTTATTTTTTAGTTCTCGGCATCTTTATTTTATTTTTTTATGCGGTGCTGAGGATGGAGCCCAGCGCCCTGCACATGCCAGGCAAGCGCGCTACCACTTGAAGCCACATCCCCAGCCCAAACAARGTTATCTTTATAAAGAAAAATGAACACTTAAAAACTTTCAGCAACCCTTAAGCTACTATTTGTATCTGACACATTCCTTACTAAAAGCAATTGAGACTTCTTATGAGAGATGGATAATTCTAGGTGTTGGGCTGGGATACCTTGCCAGGCCAGAACAAAAAAGCTTTCAAATGCCAACAGAGTCACAATCCAGGGATCAAAAAAACAGTAAGGGATAGAATAAAGTTGGAAAAAATGTTAATAACTGCTAAATCTGACTAACAGATACACTGAGGTTCACTATATTATTTCATATACTTTATGTGCTGTGCGTGTGTGTTTGTGCGTGTATAACTGGAATTTATCCAGAGGAGCTCCACTCCCAGACCTTTTTGTTTTTTGAGACAGGGTCTGACTAAGTTGCAGAGGCTGGCCTCAAACTTGTTATCCTCCTGTCTTACAACAGTCACTGGATAACAGGCATGCGCCATCGTACACAGCTTATACTTTATGTTTAAGCATCTCCATAATTCACAAATATAGAGGCATAACAAAAAAAACTCATCCTGGGAGGCTCCCATCCCTATTTGTTAAAACTAKGAGAATGATGCCTGAAATTGGATGAACTACACTTAGTCAATAATAATCTATGAGTCTACAAAAATATTTGACAAGACCAGACAAAAACTTAGGTAATCTTAGCTAGTGAATATTGGTAATTAAGTAATATAATTTATTTATTTGTTTTGCTTCTGCAGGAGCAACTATATTTCAGAACAAACTAATAGCCCAGTCAATATACTAATCTATTTTACGGAAAGACAAAAATGTAGAAGGAAAAAAATCAGAAAATTAACTTATGCAGTCCTTCATGAAATTACTGATTCAAGCAAGTGTTGTATTCAGGTATATGCTTTCTATGACTTAAAGATTTATAGTGTGCAAGTAACACCAAACACATTTTCTGTTGAATGGAGAAAAAGATAAAACTCTACAATAAAGGGATCAGCACATTAAACCAATTCAGTGGTTAATTTTGGTTTAATTAATGGTGACTTATCCAGACACTGTGGCTCTTTTTTAACTTGGTTCTGTCAGATCTTAAGATTTAATTTCTAGTTAACAGAAAATACAGTGAACAGAGGAACTAAATGAAAAAATAACCAAAAACATCTGGGAGGTGAGACATCCTGTGGTATAGTAGGCTTTGCCTCCTTGAGTAAATTAAGGATATGTAAAAGGAGACTGGGTTAGATTTTTTTTTTTAAAGACACTTAAGTATATATCCATCAGGTGTCAAACATGGTCCTAGCCTCGGAATTTTGAAGATACTAAGATAAACAAACAAACAAAAAAACAAAGAGTTTACCAAATAACACATTTAGTATGATCTCACTTTAATAAGCAATGCATAGATAAGTCTTTATTTTCTAAATTTATGTCACATTTGTTGAGTTTTTAATA